AGACATAAATACAATTTAAACTGTATCTCTAACTATAAAATATTTATGTAAGAAACAATCATAAGAGCTATAGTCAATCAAGCAGCCGGCAATACTTTAGTTAACTTCGTATACTCTGTGACAAAGAATTGTCACCAATTTCTAAATAACTGTTGTTAGTTTATACTGTAAAATGAGCTCATTCTAATTGTTATATAAACATGTATGTAACATCGAAATCTGTTGAAGGTGGATGTGGCAGCTGTATGCCTTTTTAAGGCATACCTCTACTCAACTACCATTGTATTATTGAAGATACAGAGAGCCAAAGTAGAGAGTTTTCATAGCTTATTGGTCACATGACAATACATATGAAGTTTTAAGTAGTTTTTTTTTTCAGGTTTGTTTTGAAATAAAGGAAGTAAAATTTGGATAAAATAAAACTGAATCATGATATACAGTATAATATTAATTTCATTCACATACATTGATAGTAAAGGTGTTTAATTAAATATTAAATGTAACTCAGTGACTTGTGCAGAAAGGTGTTTAAAGAGGCTTCTGTTGTGAAAGGGTTAACTCTATGTGCTTCAGTGGGGGTTAAAGTGTGCAAGCTATTGCTTTTTACGGAGTGCCATTCAACATGGTATTATGTTTTTGATCTCAGAGTTATCAACTGTTCATTTTACCCCATATTGCCGAGTTACTTCATAACAGAGAATGGTTAGATACATTATCTATACGTTCATCAGATACAGTATACAGGAATGCTGGAAAAAACTGCATTTCAGAAGTCTAGAAGTTATGCAAATTCACATAAAGATCACCATCCACCCTGACATGTCGGAGCCAGATTGATGTTACCAAGTCACAAACATATCTTGGGTGCATATATCTTTGTAAATCATGTGTTTTTTATATACAACAGACTTGTACATTTTATTACAAGCTCGCCACATTTTGTGTAGATACATATAGTAAATTTGAAATTATAATCAGATTCATTTTCTGTTAAGGCCTGATGGACCAAGCCCATATGCATTTGGTCATTTGTTTCGTACAACAGCGAGAGAAAAAGATAAAATCTTAGATATGTTTGACAAAAGATTTGATGGAATGGGTCTCATTAAGGAGGTAGCAAAACATCAATGCAAGGTGCTCCAAGACAACATCCAGTGAGTGATGAAGCATGCCATCACAGAGACTGAGAAGCCCGAGATGTTCTTGGTAAATGTAATTCATGATGTTCATACCTACACTGAGCATACCAAGGGGAAGAGAGTGACTGTTCATAACGTGCCCCAAAGAATAACAAAAAAATGTAAAAATTATAATTAATATGATTAATCACCAGAAAAAATACTAATATTCTCAACATTTTGCTGATCAGCTCCATTAACCATATTTTGTTGTAATGCTATTACTACATCAAGTCAAAATCACACTCGATTTCTGGTGGGCTAGTTTTGTTTTTCTTACTTTGTGATTATCCAAGTTTTATTTACGTAAGAATTTTTTAGGATAATGCAATTTTGATTGTAGAGCTCTGCAACCTACCTAATAAGGATTACTGTTTTAAAGTCGGATTAAAATTTCCTTGATTGAAAATTAATGCCGAATAAAGAATGTCCGTAAAATAAAATTTAAGAAGACATTTTTCTCAAATTTCATGTAATACGGAATACAGAAGTTTCATGACAAGTATTTTAAGTCATAAGTCTTGCTTCCATATGAGTTAACAAGTACACTAGTACCTACAATGTATTTTCAAATGTTTTTATAAGTAATCACGATGAGCAATTTTTTATTGAATAACATCTTAGATATATTGAAACATGTAACTCAGTAAAGGATAGAGACCAGAATTAAAGATGAGTTGTTTTATAAAGGTATCATATTAATTTTTTTAAAAACCACGTACAAGTAGTAATAGTCTGTTACATTATATACATGTATTACATACAATTAAAATTTTAATTGTAAATTTCTTGATCTATATTTTAAAGCTACCTGCAAAAATGCAATAATTATTAATAACTTATGATCAAAAATAAACAAGGTAGGCCATAAATCAATACCCAAAAAACAAAATTTATTGATTAGAAGTTATTAAATCATTATTTGGGTGTCCTTGCTATTAACAGTAATTTTGGTCATAATCTTGGCAATGTCTCAAAAAGTTCAGCAAACATAAAAAATTACTGGTAATTCTAAATCTTTATAATAAGTTCATATGCAAAATAATATTTTATAAGTGTTAGATTAATAATAATAAATAGTACAAATAATATCCAAAAAGTATCTTAAACATTATAATCGCTAGTATTAATGAAATGTACTTTTAAAAATTGGAAACTGTCATTAATTGTTAAAACAAGAATAAGGTTTTGTTTTTAAGGTGAATGTGAGTGGGAGAAGTGGAAAATAGCACAAAAATATGCTGTTTTATGTAGTGGATACATAAAGCTGTTTGTGATGGGTGAAAGATATATTGTATAATTGATAATGAAAACTGTCAAGCTGATTCATTTTAATGTAATTTCTTCCAAATTATGCAAGTTATCTTTAACTACTGACTCGTGTGGGACCAACTTCTGGTCCTAAATATTTAGTAAATAGTTAAATGAGTAACTCCTGCCTTGAGTAATAAATTCATCGGTCATTTTTATAAATCTAATCTATACCTATTGCTACTCATTTCATGCATGTTTGACCACTTATTACTATAGTGATTGTATTTGTTAACATATTAAGTTTATACTTCTGAAGAAGGACAACTACTCAGGATGTAATCCAGTAAATGCTTATATTATTTTCTTTCTTTTGTGTTATCAGATTGTTTCTTTAGTGTGAACTTCATTTCTCTTCCATGGCAAACTCACTTCTTGTAGTCATGGCAGTTGTAACTACATTTTGTATTCTCTATGGTTTATTAATTTTGTCCTAATATTAAATCTGCTCTTTATTTTATAGCAATTTAGTTCTGTTCAGGTTGTAAAAAAAGTGCAACATTCAAACTTTAATAAAAGAAACAAGTTTACAGAAGCAGTCATCCAAAATAGTGTTAAGCTTTAAGATTGTAATGATTTTATTTTAAAAAAACCTTAGAATCAAATTAAAACCACATTTATATTACAAACAACTGAAAAATAATTATGATTTAGCTGTTTTCCAATTGCTTTTCTGTAACTCGTATCACTGAATTATGAACTGTTAACTAAACCTGCCACTCAAACAATTAGTAACACATAATTAGAGCTAAAACTGAGGTAACAGTAGTAAAATAGTTAAAATATTTGTAAATTAGCAAATGTAAGTAGTAGTACACAGATATTATCTGAACTTGCTTTACAGAGAAATACCAAGGGAACTAGTTCAAGCAGCAAGGGGAGAGGTAAACTTAAATATGGAAGATCATCGTCAGGAGGACTTTATGGCATCGAAGAGAAAATTAGAGGTGTTTTCAGGAGAAGGTCATCGGTTAGGAAGGTAAAAACTATTTTTTTATGTCTTTACAACCTGTTTATTTATTGCTAATAATTTTAATTTCTAGGTAAACACCCAATAAAACTTTCGAGTTATAGCTGTGACTTTTTTATTCTACATAAAAGTTGTGTTTTTTTATTTGGTCGTTCAATATTTATACAATACTAGACAACCTGTAACCCGTTGGGTCACCCACTGTTCAGAGATTATGAAGAATTCAAGTTAATTTCAATATTGCACCAAAATGATTAATTAAATATTTTAATCCATTCATGTTATTCATAATTCAAGGAAAGGTATTTGATTGTTGATCAGGAGTAAAAGGAAAGACCATTTCATTTTTCAAAATAGTGAAGTCAGAGTTTTCAGGTAGTGATGAACAAACCTTATTCACAGTTGATTCAAAATACCTGAAAATAAGAAATAACAGATAATAGTAACGTTATTCATGGTTTATTAGAATGTAATTGCTATCAAAAAGTTATTTCAGAAAAACATTTCATACTTACTTGCTCAAATTACTGCAAGAACCACCAAAACTTGATAACTGATACACTACGAAATTCACCAAATGAAAAACCTTTCTCACAGTGAATGAATTTTTGACTGAGTAAATTTTCTCATTTCCTTACCTACCATAACCAAGGTACATTATTGATAAATTCTTCAAGATCTTGTTTTTGTCATCTTACGCCTTTTAATGAAGATGGGAACATTGACAGGGAAATAGATTTGAACGAATAAGTTTCGAAAATAGCGCGAACGGTAGTGTGATGTAAAATTACTCATGCTAGAAATGTTCATAAAAGTGACCCGAAAAATGGCGCTG